GTGATCCAGACAGCACAGAATATGAGCATGCTGAATGTAATGAATTTGGCTTCATTGAAGTTATCAGGCAGCTTCCGAGCCAGGAAAGCAAGTACAAAGCACATGGCAGAGAGGAATCCTATATACCCTAACACAGCCCAGAATGCACCTGCAGATCCCAGGTCACACTCCAGAATAATTCTCTCTGCATAGTATTTCATGTTTCTGTTAGAAAAAGGAGGTGACATTGTCAACCAAAGGACACAAATCAAGACCTGTATAAGTGTGAAAACAAGAACACTTAACCGCTGCTGTGTGGGGCCAAACCATTTCATAATGTTATTGCCTGGTAGTGTAGCCCTAAAGGCCATTAACACCACTATTGTTTTCCCCAGAACACAAGAGATGCACAGGACAAATGTGATCCCAAATGCTGTATGGCGCAACATACAGGACCAGTCAGAGGGCTGGCCAATGAAAGTAAGTGAACAGAGGAAACACAGAGTCAATGAAAAGAGCAGAAGGAAACTCAGTTCAGAATTATTGGCTTTAACAACTGGAGTGTCCTTGTTTCTGTAGAAGATGAAAGCTACACCTATAGTTAGGCAAGCTCCAGACAAAGAAAAAGCTATGAGGAGTATTCCCATGATTTCTCCAAAGGACAGGAATTCAACTGATTTTAATACACATTCATCTCTTTTGTCATTTGACCAAAATTCCAAAGGACACTGGATGCAATTGTTAGAATCTGCAAGAAAATGAATTATGTTTTAATTGAGAATATTCTTATAATGCAAAATGCTGCTGTAGAGGTTTGTGTCTGCAATTTCTTTTTTAACATTTTTAAAATGCATTTAATCATTTCTTTGTATTTTTTTTACTTAGAAGTGGATGTTTTCTATGTTTTTATGTTTATGTAGTTTTTATCAAATAGGTGTGAGTCATTGAAACTTACAGCACAGAAGGTTATGAGGTTAAAAGTGTGCAAGTATTTTGTAATCAGATCTTACTTTACCTGTGGTGTTGCTGATCTCTCCTTCAGCACATCGTATGCAGTCATAGCAACACACAGGCCTTCCTCTCTGAACTGCCTTTCGAGTGCCTGGAGGACAGCTCTCACTGCACACTGACTCAGGCTTCTAGACAGGATACAGGTAACAGAAATAATTAGAAAATATAGGATAATATAATTTGACATTACTTATACATTAATGCAGTTGGTGAGATTGCCTTTTTACCTTAAAATAGGATAATGAGCAAAGCAATATAAATCATCATCCAGGTGGATGCCACACATTGGTGGTGGTGGAGGGGAGTCCCCATTACCTGTAAAGTGCTTTGAGTGGAGTGTCCAGAAAAGCGCTATATAAGTGTAAGCAATTATTGTTATTATTAATTATTTAAAAAAAACATTTTATTTAGTTCTTAGCCTTTGTTAATGACTTAATGTGCATGTTAAAGTGAATTTTAATAAGGTAACACTTCAATTTTATAAATGACTTTAAAAAAATTTCTAAACCATCTCAAAAATTGTCATTGTGATTTTTACTGAGTTATACAAAGTGTTTTTTTTTTTATTTTTTACCTCAAGTTCACCACCTGCCCAAACAATGTTGACCTGGTTCATGACAAACTGACTACCTGCTGGCAGTGAAGCATCATAGTAACCAACAGTCATGAACTGTACGGTGCTCCCATTAACAACCTGCCAGTTCACTAATTCATATCTCGCAGGGGGGTCTCCATTGTCATCGAATGAGACCTGCTCTCCAGTTTTGGTTTTGAAATTGACATGATTCAGATGCTCAAGTACCTGTGCCAAAGAAAATAAGATGTCTTAAAATATTTATATGACAAGCAGATACATACATATTTTCATGCATTACAAGACGTAGATCTCCCTTACCTGCCATGGTTTAGTATAAATTGATTTAGCACAGCTATGATTGGCAGAAGAATCTTGCCCTATCTGGCATTCAAGCGCGTTGTGTAGAGAGTATGCAACAGCATACACTGCTTTATATATATTATTGAATATTCTGACATCAGATACGTCTGCATATCCGTTTCTTAGTTCTTGTAAGTCTTCAGACCCAGTACAAGCTTTTTTTGTTTTGTCTTCATTTGACATGGAACAGTTAAATGAAGTTTCCCAAAACTCATTTAAGAGGGCATTGTGTGGAGACAGGTGGACACTCATTAAAAACTCTCTTAGTCCTTCTATTTGGGTTTTAATTACGGCAAAACCAATAGATCCACTCAGAACTTTATTACCTTCTGCTGCAGCAACATTACTGGCAGTAATCCAGGCTTCACTGCCAATCCACTGGAGACCAGTTACATTCTGGAGTGCTAATTCTTTAATTAAAGCAATTACATCTCCTTGGTCCAGAAAGGCTATAATGACCTTTGAAGTGCTCTTTGTGATAACTTCTATGTTCTTAATAATTTTTTGCCTGGAATGAGACTGATGAACCACCTCTGAATATTCAATACAGATTCCTTCCCTCTCTGCAGCTTCCACAAAAGTAGCCATTCCATTGTGGCCATAATCATTGTCAGCTCTTATGGTCCCAACCCAGTTCCATCCAAAGTGCTTCACAAGCTGAGCCAGGGCTCTGCTCTGATAATAGTCACTGGGGATGGTTCTGAAGAATGAAGGGAATCTCCTTCGATTGCTCAGACATGCGCAGGTAGCAAAGTGACTGATCTAAGAGGAAAAGAGAGCAAAATATTAATTTTAAATGCCACATGTCTTTATGTTGTTTTCTTTGTTGAAACACATTTTGATCAAGAAGAGAATCAATGTTTGTCTTCTTTATGATTTAAAGAGGGCATTGATTTTGTTTTTGTTTTTTTGTAATATACACTTCTAGGTCTACTGCAGTTTAGAGGAATTAGAAGATGACAAAAGGAGATGAAGCAAAGAGGTCTTTTTGTGAAGTGACACTATTTTGCCAATAATGATTATTTGGGTTTTATAACACTTTAATAAGTAGAATTTAGAATTTTCTCACCACAGGGATTCTAAAAGATCCAACTGTTGCTGACATTGCAATTGTGGGTGATGATGCAGACTCTCCTATTATAGCTTGAACTGTAGTTGGTCTGGAGCAGGAGGTGTCAGAGAGAGTTTCCTCATTTCCATTCATTAAAGCCATAGCTGCCCTTATAGCCAAAGGTATAGAGCCACATGTGTCATAGATCTTATATCCCAAAGACACCCCAGGAAGAAGATCAGTCCTGTTGTTTATTTCCTCAATGGCAAAGATAATTGTTTGTGCAGACTGAAATTCTCCAACGAGTAATCTATGGTAAACACATTTTAAAAAAAAAAATAATTTTACAGCTGAAGAATCACTTTAGAACTATGTCATTATGTAATAGAAACAGTTATAGAGCTGCTTGATCTAAAAATATTTTATTACGAAACATAAAATTACCTTTTGCATTCTGGAAGATCAGGTTTGGTTTTAAAGAGATGCATTTTTTCTTCAGTGTTGCTGTGGATTTGAATCACTCCCCCGATCATGATGTCGCCATCTTTAGATAAATGAGGAAAATCTGCCGTTCCTTGAAGTCTGCAAACAGGCTGTTGTGCTAATGTCAAGACTGAAACAACCATCATCAATATTACTACTGTCAGTGACATCCTTGTGCACATGAAGAGGCTTCTCTCTTAACAAAGAAAACATGTAATAATTTTGGTCTTTATATTAAGGAAGGAAGTCTCCAGGGTAGTTAAATGAACTTGAAGTGAACTTCAGACTGTGTTAAGCAGGAATTCTCAAAGGTTTGATATTTTAAACTGTTTTAATTAATTATTGCATTGCATTAATTATTGCATTGTACTTGATTTTTCTTTATTATATTCATTAGAAAGACTCTAACAATGAATTCACACAATAAACACAATTAATTTTAAATGTGTCTGTGAAGATAGGAGAAAACATACCTGCAAAAATAAAGAACACCCTATAGTGTGAATTACATTCTCTTTATAGTATTTCACTTTATAATTCAGTATAATGCTGTACTGAAATTGCTCCATTAATCTGTGCTTCGTCAATAATTAAGTTAAAATAAATTGAATGAAAATACCATTTGAAACTGTCATAAAATCTTTTGAAACTAAGTTATCTACCAAACAAAATTTTTAAGTGCTGTGACAGAATGTTCTTTTAAAGGAAGCTTGTGACAATGTGGATTGAATATGGTTAGAAATTGTAATATGATGTAGCTTTCTTTCAGTCTTGCCCTGGAGTTCAACTTTCAACTATTTCCTTTTCTTTGTACGCACTTTATCCCCACTTACATTCTTCTTCATCTCTCACACACATTTTCATGCTTTTTATTTTGTCTTTTCTTTCTCTCCTGTTTCCTGTTCCTAACATTAATAATTGAAGAAATGCACACAGCTTTTTTCTATTCATGAAATTTAACAATATTTGGGAATCACTCCTTGAAAATCCCAGAGTTTTTTGTAAACATTTGTAAACATTATTTTGTAAACTTTTTATTCTACTGAAATTGTACCTATAAAATGCTGAAGTTAATAGATCAAAGGGTGTGGCAGGTAGAGTAGCTAGGAATTTTTACATTTCAGAAATAAAATCTATCAGAAAGGTATGAAACATTCATAGAAAAATGGCATGTTTTTGTCTGGACTTGTATTAATAGTGCTACCAATTTTTTTAAAAGAAAAGAGACAACTTTTCGACTGCGCAGCTTCAGGTGTGAGGAAGGAAAGCTTTCAATATTTCACATCTGAAGAAGGCTCCAGAGATGAAAAATTGTGTCTCTTTTCATCATGGAATAAACCTTTACCTGTTCTTAAAAACGTAATTGTATACTTATAGTGTAAACATGAATATTTTTGCATATACTATATACTAAATATATACTTTATATCATACTTAGTATTAAATATGCCGTTGTTGGATTTCATCAGTGTTATAGCCCATTCCTGAGTGTAAAAATGAAAAATCATTGTATGTAATCACAGTCAAACTAATCGAGGACGATGTGCCATGAACATCTGTGGTAGAATGAAATCCAGGTTCATTAATAACAGGATGTATAAAATGAAGATCCAGAACCCATATCTGAACAAGAGCAATAGACTGTAGAGTCTTGTGGGGAGCTGGGGGGAGCAGCAGGCCTGCAGAGTGTCTGTAAAGAGCACAGGCAGCACACAGTTAATCTCCACTGATAGACAGACTGAAGCACAGGGCTAAGTAAGTCAAGACACACACACAACTGCTTCATATAGCTCTGAATATAACAGTAGAGTGACAGCAAGTTCTGAGATATGATGAGTGAAAATTGATATGCATGAAATAAAAAATATTTTCAATGGATCATGGAAAACAAGTAGTTTTTATAGTTGTATTTTCAATGGTACAATTTAATGCATTAACAAATCATTTACAGATTTTTAAGGAACTACCATAATGCATATATCAATTTTGAGTATATCTGTTCATAAATGTTCTTTGATGTAACATATTCAAATGTGTTACATCAAATTGTAGAAATAAACTACATTTTCATGTTCGTTAAAAAACTCATCAAAATCCTCTATATAAACGACATAGAAATGTGAATTCCTTTATGATGTGGGAGAATGTGAGAAAATAACAAAGTGAAGAAATATATTTGTTTTTAGACACATGCAAGTAACTGAGCAATATTACAAATTATTTATAATGACACACTGCAGTTTGCCAAACAACATTTGTGTACATATTGATCGTTTTGAATTGTTAAAATGAGAGAAAGAAATCCAACTACAAATTTGAACTGTATTGAATTGAAGTTTGAAAATCAAAAATTGAAATATTGAATAAACTGTACCAATATTCTGTCTGCACAAAGTAAATATATATATATAAATATACAATTGAAATGTTTTGGTATTTGATAGAATCACTGGGTAACTCCCAAATCTTACTGAGATAGAAAAGTGTATATGAAATGACTTTATTAGTGCTTTAAGAAGAAATCAAAACTGTGCAATGCATTGCAATGCCATTTAAATTCAATCAATTACATGTGTCCCTTGCAAGAAAGGAGAACATTATATTATACTGTACAAGAAGCTTTCAGAAACCAGAACTAACAAGGCAATACAGTCATATGAAAAATACAGGCCATTCACCTGGATTATGTTTAATCAAATGCATGCTATTTGATTAAACTTTTCACATTTTTACAGAAGTCATATGGATACAGCAACACAAATGCACCTTTGAGAATTTCAAGGAAATAAATGCTTCTGGATGCCTAAATAATTAAATCATTTAGCATTTTCCTTTGAAAACACAAAAACATGCTGATGATATAAATTTCTGGTGGATGATGACCTCTTCTTTAACCGCTGTATTGCAGTAAACGTACTTACTACACTCATAGTATTTACATCAATGAGAGTTAAAAAAGTCTCAACATTTCAAGATTTTTAATCATTATTCAGAAAACGTATATGGATGGGACACTTTCTACATGTTTTTAAAGTTCATTTACATTCTTAAAGTGATTTTGCAATCATTTTTCCCATTAAGTGTTTCTTTGTATTCATTTCAGGTTTTAAAATAATTATATAGCATTTGGGGGCAAATATACAGAAAAGTAAGCCAAAACTAGAAGCCAAAATTGCAAATATTTCTACAGCTACTGTATACTTCCCAGGTGAACTAATATAAGCTGGAATAAAGGTGATCCAGACAGCACAGAATATGAGCATGCTGAATGTAATGAATTTGGCTTCATTGAAGTTATCAGGCAGCTTCCGAGCCAGGAAAGCGAGCACAAAGCACATAGCAGAAAGTAATCCTATATACCCTAACACAGCCCAGAATGCACCTGTAGATCCCAGGTCACACTCCAGAATGATTCTGTCTGCATAGTATTTCATGTTCTTGCTTGGAAAAGGAGGTGATGTTGTCAACCAAAGAACACAAATTAAGACCTGCACAAGTGTGAAACCAAGAACACTTAACCGCTGCTGTGTGGGGCCAAACCATTTCATAATGTTGTTGCCTGGCAGTGTAGCCCTAAAGGCCATTAACACCACTATTGTTTTCCCCAGAACACACGAGATGCACAGGACAAATGTGATCCCAAATGCTGTGTGGCGCAACATACAGGACCAGTCAGAGGGCTGGCCAATGAAAGTAAGTGAACAGAGGAAACACAGAGTCAATGAAAAGAGCAGAAGGAAACTCAGTTCAGAGTTATTGGCTTTGACAATAGGAGTGTCCTTGTTTTTGAAAAAGATCAAAGCTATACCTATAGTTAAACAAGCTCCAATTACTGAAAATATAATGAGCAGAATCACCATGATTTCTCCAAAAGACAAGAATTCAATTATTTTTAACACACATTCATCTCTTTTCTCATTTGACCAATATTCCAGAGGACACTGAACGCAATCATTAGAATCTGCGGAAAAAAACATATTTTAGAGGAATACAGATCACTGTTATACAGAATTGTATTTTATTTTATACAATACTTTCTTTTTATAATGTAAAATTAAAAAAAAATAAATATGAAGTCCACATGATGAAATATTAATTTTTGTGTGTTTGTATGATACTTTATGAGTCACTGAAGAAAAGATCATGTAGAGCAGGTAATGTGGGGTTGTAATCTTTACGCATTTACCTGTAGTGTTGCTGATCTCTCCTCCAGCACACTGAACGCAATCATAGCAACACACAGGCCTTCCTCTCTGAACTGCCTTTCGAGTGCCTGGGAGACAGCTCTCACTGCACACTGACTCAGGCTTCTGCAGAACAAGGACAAAACATTTATTAGTGGAGGAACAATTAAAGTTTTGCAGAGTTATGCTTACATAACATAGAATATTTTCCGTGAAATACTTTCCAGGAAATTTGCTTCTGCAAATAAAACATTTATATTATTTCACATGAAAGACTAGGGAGTGAATTACATTCTATTTACTGTATATTATAGTGATTTTTAAGAGGTAAAAAATAATAATACAAGGAGGTTAATAATAAACAGATTTACAGTAAGACAGCATTAATTAAAAAAATATCAAAACCTTATTATACAGCAAGATTAACTCTTAACAGTTTTTATTGTTTAGTATGCTTTAGTGAAAACATCATATTTTCAAAAGTGAGAATGCTGAAAAGCTGTCTGAAGAAAATGTTTTTTAATTTGAAAAATCACTCTTTTATCTTTATGTAGGTTTTATTCCAAAGACTAAAGTATTTTACAGATATTTTTGTAGAATAGACCATATCTGTCTAAGAAAAAATGCTTTGGTGGACAGTGCACAGAGAGTTGACATGCAATCTCTAATTTATGACAAAAATAGTTTTCTTCACTGCTGACCTCATACTGACCACCTGTCCAAACAATGTTGACTTGACTCATGACAAACTGATGACCTGCTGGCTTCGAAGCATCATAATGACCAACTGTCATAAACCGTATAGCACTTTTATGATCAAGTTGCCAGTTTACTAATTCATATCTTGCAGTTGAATCCCCATTTTTGTCAAAGAAGACTGTCTCTCCTTGTTTGGTTGTGAAACTGACATTGTTGAGATGCTCAAGCACCTGTGCAAATGAAAATATTGATATAATGACATTCTTTTTTACCTCGGTAATAAGTATACTTTGATATTTTCAATGATATGAATATTACATTACCTGCCATGGTTCAGCATTGCTTGTTTTTTTGCATGTATAATTGGCAGAAGGACCTTGATCTTTCTTGCATTGAAGCAAGTTATGTACAGCATGTGCAACAGCATATACTGCTTTATACACATTATTAGATATTCTTAGTTCAGATTCATCTGCATATCCATTCTTTAGTTCTTGTAGGTCTTCCAACCCTGTGCAAGCTTTTTTCTCTTTGTCTCTATTTGAGAACGAACAGTTAAATGAAGTTTCCCAAAACTCATTTAAGAGGGAGCTGCCTGGGCCCTGAGATGGGTGGACACTCATTAAAAACTCTCTTAATCCATCTATTTCACTTTTAACAACAGTAAATCCAATGGATCCACTTAGAACCTTATAGCCTTCCGCTGTGGCAACATCACTGGCTGTAATCCAGCCTTCACTGCCAACCCATTGGAGACCAGTTACATTCTGAAATGATAATTCTTTTATTAAAGCATTTATGTCTCCTTCCTCAAGAAATGCTACGATAACCTTTGAAGTGCTCTTTTTGATAACTTCTATGTTCTTAAGAATTTTTTGTCTGGAATGAGACTGATGAACCACCTCTGAATATTCAATACAGATCCCCTCCTTCTCTGCAGCTTCCACAAAAGTAGCCATTCCATTGTGGCCATAATCATTGTCACTTCTAATAGTCCCAACCCAGGTCCATCCAAAATGCTTCACAAGCTGAGCCAGGGCTCTGCTCTGATAATAGTCACTGGGGATGGTCCTGAAGAATGTTGGATATCTTCTTCTATTGCTCAGACATGCGCAGGTAGCGAAATGACTGATCTGTACATGACATAAAGCAATGTTGTTTTAATATGGACTGTATTACTTGTCTAGGTTTCTTTGTTGTTACGCTTGGTTTCAGCAATTTCCTAATGAAATTGATGACATATACAGTAGGGCATATCTAAGATGCAGTAAAACTGTAAATTTAAATTTCAGCAATATTCAGTTATTATTTCCTTGTTTACAGAACTGTGACTGTCCATTAAAATTACACTAAGAGCTTTATTTTAAGTAAATGTTAAACTTTAGATTTTCTTACCACAGGGATTCGAAAAGGTCCAAGTGTTGCTGACATTGCAATCGTGGGTGATGATGCAGATGCTCCTATTACCACTTGAACTGCAGCTGGTCTGGAGCAGGAGGTGTCAGATAGAGTTTCTTCATTTCCATTCATCAAAGCCATGACTGCTCTTAAAGTCAATGATATTGAACCACATGTACCATATATTTTATAACCCAGATGTAGGCCAGGAAGTAGATCTGTCCTGTTGTTAATTTCTTCAATAGCAAAGATCATTGTTTGCATGGACTGGAATTCTCCAATGAGTAAGCTAGGAAAAAAACAAAAGTTTTCATTTTTTTCTAATTGAATAAATAATCACTTAAAGTAATAAAATTAAAGAAAAAGTGATATTGAGCAGAAGGCGTATGTGTTATGAATCTGATTTTTTGCTTCCTAGAAAACATTAACTAACCTTTTGCATTTAGGAGGATCAGGTCTGGTTTTGAAAAGATGCTTCTTTTCTTCAGTGTTGCTGTGGATTTGAAACACTCCTCCGACCATGATGTCTCCATCTCTAGATAATTGTGGAAAAGCCATTGCTCCTTGAAGCCTACAAACAGGCTGTTCTGTTAATGTTGAATCTGTAACAACTATTATCAATATTACTACAGTCAGTGACATCCTTAAGCACATGATGAGGTGTCTCTCTTAACAAAGACAACATGTCATAATTTTTTGTTTATATTGTGCAGGGGTGTCTCCAGGGTAGTTTAATGAACTTGAAATCAAGTGGAGCGATAGTTAAGGCTGGGAAGTCACTTTGTTTTTTTTTCCTTCAGCACACAACACATACATACCCATAAAGTGCATGAAGTGAAGTGTTAAGTGGGAATTCCCAAAGGTTTCATATTTTAAACAAGATATTTTAAGTAATTATGGTGTTGCACTTCATCTGTCTTATTATATTAATTGCAGTGGAATTAAAAATCAGGAACATAATAAAAATAATTAATTTTAGAATTTGGCTATAATAAAATCTAGCAAACATATTTCAGGTAAAGATGAAAATAAAAATATTACAATACATGGGACATTCTATTTCAAATAGTCAAATAATTTCTGTTGTTCCAATAATTTGTGTTTTGATAATCCTTCATTAGCTGGATTAAAACACATTGGAAAATGTTGTGTTTTTAGTGAAACTAAGACATCCACCAACCATTCTAATTTGGTTATGACTAAAATTGCACTATTATAAAAAAGATATGTGCAATATGACGTGTTGTGTTTTAAAGCGTTTATTGTGTCCTGATGATCATGTAGTGTACATTAAAAATTATTTGTAAATTAATCTGAAAATATCTAATCAATTTTGTGTTTTCAAGAAAATTGTAAGGATTTGAGTTCCACAGAAATATATTAATTATAATTGTAATTATAATATTTCCTGCTACATTTAATACTAATTTCTTACACTTACTGTGTACAGCACATTTCTGGTCACTCCACACAAAGCGCTTTACAGGTAATGGGGACTCCCCTCCACCACCATCAGTGTGTTGCTCCCACCTGGATGATGTGACAGCAACCAATGTGCTCCAGTACGTTCACCACACACCAGCTGTCAGTGGGTAGGAGAACAGAATAATGAAGACAGTTTACAGATGGCGAGTAGTCCAGTCAAAAGCAGTCAACCAAATGTATTTTATACTCCATGAAAAGGTTGTTCACCTTTGTCAAGTCAAATTCTAATACCACGTTTCTGCTCCCCTATATATAAACACTCCCTGGCAGCAGATAAGTCTGCATTCATCTTTTTTAGCTCTCCTTCCTCCACCACAACTTCACCATTTCAGCTGCCTCCCTGGTTCATAAGTGAGGTTGGTTGACAGAGCTGATCTCTGGCTAGTGCTGTCATTTCCTCAATCAGAGGTGTTAAAGGGGAACTTTCATATTTCGGGGTTAGAAAGAATCAGCATTGATGAGTGCATTTCAAATGCAATAAAAGTAAAATGTACACGGTAAATTGTAAAACCTCCAGTTTACACCACAAAATAAATTAAAACTTCAGGTATGTGCAGCACCATGTTCTGTGATAGAGAACAAGGCAACAAAATGTCCAGTAATGTATAAGGTCCTAAGATACTGTAAACAAGCAGGCTTGTAAATACTCTTTTAATCCAGTAGAAATACAATAGAAATACGTATTACTTTTGATTTCAAGATGGTTTTGGCGCCAATTACTACTTACTTGTGAACTCAGCATGCAGTTCACATTGGAAGATTTCTGTGGTGAAATGTCTGCTGTGTAACCTGTATTCATTCGCTTGTACATCACATTGCATTAGCCAGGGAGGAAACTAGTGAGCAGGAAGGGCTTCATCACGTCACAATTCATGGAAACTCATATGTATGGTACAGTCAAAAAGTTAATGATTTTGTGCCTAATTTTAAATTTGTATTTTTTTTCTATAACATCTGTAACTGAGATGTAATAACTGATCTGAGAAAATAGGACTGCAGTTCCCATTTAATGCCAAAGTATTAATTATGCTACATACCTTTCATATTTGACATTTTGTTTCGTTATTAGATTTTAATGGAAGTACTGAAATGTTTTTACTATGCCAAAAAATCAATACTTTTGCACAGAAGTGCACTTTTTTAGCATTTTTTTTCTCTGAAACTGCAGTATTGATACATGCAACAGAATTTGCAATAATATTCACCTAAATTCTCAGAGAGAGAGAGTCTTTATTAATCCCAAGGGGCAATTTATTTTTTCAGTGTACAGATGGGAAAAAAAACATACACGTACACGTATATACAGTACTGTATTTACATAGAAAATCAAGTAAGGATATGTCTACAGGTATGAATGAGAACTTAAATCTTTTGGTTTTGGAGCTGGGAAATCAGCATCTGTGTTCTGATGGGAGTAATTATAATTCATTAAACAAGGGGTGTGAAGGAACATCACAGATAGATTTTACTTTACGCAAAACACGTGAATGATAATGGAGAGGACTGGAAGATCCACACCAGTGACCTTCTGACATATTTTCACAAGACTGCCCAGTTTGTTCTTGCCTCTCAGATTCAGGTTGTTGACCAGCAGACCAGGGTAAAAGATAAAAGGAATTCAAGGAAGGACCTGTAAAACAAGATCAACAACGAATCATGAATCTTTAAATGCTTAAGCTTCCTTAAGAAAAAAAGACGTGGTTCTACTTTTTTGAGGATCATGTCAACATTTCCTTCTAAATTTAACTTGGACTCCAATATGAGTATTGTTCTACTGGCTCCACTAAATCTCCCCAAATGTAGGCTAGCGTGGGTTTTTTTCCTGGCCTTTGGTCTTGGACTCATTTATCTTGAGGAAGTTTTGTACACACCAGGTGGCAAACTCATCAACAATGGGTCTGATATTCCTTTTTATTTAAAACAGGACAATGGGCGGCCACATTGAATGATCTCACTGCTGTGCAGCTTTCGTATTTGAAACTAACTAACAAGTTAATCAAACTAAATTCTGAAGTAAGTCTGTGAATGGTACTTAATACATTTGCTAAATAAAAACTATTGCTTCCAGTCAATGACAAATTTCTCACATTTGCAGGTGATCAGTGATTCATGTGATATGGCAGTATTTTATATTGTTTAATTAATATTTAGATCTCTTCTTCCAAAAAGTAATTTAACCACTCAGAACCTTGTGATGGACATATTTATCTGTCCCTCACTCAATGCACAGTCCCCCCTTGCTTCAAGAAAACCACCATTGTTCCAATCCCCAAGAAAACCAGAATTAGCTGTCTGAATGATTGATTACCGCCCCGTTGCACTAACACCTATCATCATGAAAACCTTTCGAGTGGCTGATCAAAGCACATTTCACCTCTTTACTGCCCCACACCTTGGACCCACTGGAATTTGTAGATACTGTAGCAAGGCAGATCAACTGAGGATGCCATTGCCACTGCTCTACACACTACCCTTTCACACCAAGATAATAAAGGATACGTACTGTATGTGAGAATGCTGTTTGTTGATTACAGCTCAGCATTCAACACCATCGTACCCTCAAGGCTTAACACCGAGCTGGGGGATCTAGGACTGAGCTCCCCTCTCTGCAATTGTATCCTGGACTTTCTGACTCCCCGATCGCAGGTGGTGAGAGTAGGCACGAGTACTGTACATCCACCTCCCAAGGCTGTGTGCTCAGCCCTCTCCTCTGCTCCTTATTCACTCACAACTGCATCGCCAGTGCTACCAAACAGATGGCTTAGAGGAATATTTAGTTTTTCCAAAATTGGATTGTTTTTGTTGTTAGTGTTTTATCTCTTTGAACACTACTCCATTTAAACATCTGAAATATGTGCTGCAGAGGAATACGTGAAAGAATGTGGCAAAATAAAGAGCTGTATATACAGTATATATGATATGCATAGATTAACATATTGAAACTTCTTTAAAGTGACTTAATAGTACTGCAAAAGACTGCAGTCTCATATTGTACCTAAATCAAAGATGTGCTGTTTATATTTAAAAAAGAGTTACAGACACTGTTATTGGATTTCTTCAATGTTATGTTCTCCAGGTACACATGACACAAGTAGACCAAACCTTTATTCTTCAACAGACTAAAAAAACATTGTAGGAGGGTTTGTAAAGTCAACAGTAAAAAATGGTTGATGTACCAAATTAAATGTTTTTTTTTTTACATTTTAGTTTTAATTACATAAAAGAGGTTTTTATTTGCCCACAACATCTGGAATGTCCAGTATACTAAAACATAAATCCCAAGATATGTAATCACAGCTGAAGTAATTGGTGAAGATGTGACATGAAATCCAGATTTATTAACAGGATGTATAAAATGAAGATCCAGAACCCATATCTGAACAAGAGCAATAGACCGTAGAGTCTCATGGGGAGCTGGGGTGAACAGCAGACCTGTGGAATGTCTGTAAAGAGCACAGGCAGCACACAGTTAATCTCCACTGATAGACAGACTGAAGCACTGGGCTGAGTAAGTCAAGACACACACACACAACTGCTTTATACAGCTCTGAATATAACAGTAGAGTAACAGCAAGTTCTGAGATATATTGAGTGAAAATTAATATGCATGAAATAAAAAATATTTTCAATGGATCATGGAAAACTACAAGCAGTTTTTATAGTTATACTTACAATGATACGGTACAATAAATTAACAGAAATTATTCCCATGTCGTTAATGTCTTTGGAACTAAAATAAAGTCACTACTAGTATTGATTATAAACTGTACGTACTGTAGCTGTTACTACAGTAAATGTCATTGAAAATAATTCAAAAAGTGGCATAGAAGTTTTAAATTTTAACTTTTGGAAAAATCCTGAAATCCTTAAAGCTGATTAAGCCAGTTTACACAAGCGAATTCATGGATGAGGCAGGAATCTTGTAAAATAGTAACCCAGCAAAAAAATAAAATAGTGCATAAAATTTGATATATTTAGAATGGATTATATTCAAATACTGCATGATCTCATATATGCATTGCTTCCACGATCTTTCTTACCTTTGATGAAACATGATTAATCTGCAGTTTATTAAACCAAATATTTGTAAATCAAAATAGAAGACAAAATGCAAGACAATTTTACTCAATATTGTATCTACTATTGTAGACTACTGTATCTGTTAAAAATAAATTACATATATGTCAAAATGTAATTCAGAAATAGAAGGTTTAATTAAATGTTACCGAGAAACAAAAGTATACAGTACATAAATAAAAACCTATACAAAACATATTATTGCTATAAGAACAATATGTAACAGTGTGTAACGCAACGGGGGCTCAGGCGGGCGCCCTTGCCGCATCTGGTCGGCCCCATCCCGACTGGAGGCTC